TCTGGACTCTCTCCAGCTCCAGGAGATCCTTCCTGTGGATTGGTGACCAAAATTGAGCCGCATACTCAAGATGTGGCCGAATCAGTGATCTAAAAAAGTGGCAAAATTATTGCTGTTTTTCTAGAGTACATTCCCTTTTTAACACAAGACAGTACTCTGCTAGCTATGTTTGCTGCAGCCTGGCTTTGCAAGCTATTTTTCAATCTGTGGTCTACTAGGACTCCCAAATCTTTTTCCATTTCTGACTTCCCTATTGGAGTACCCATGAATGTGTTTTTAACCCACAAAATGCATTACTTTAAATTTTTCAACATTAAACCTCATCTGCCATGTAGTTGCCTACTCCCCTATTTTATCCAGGTCCTCCTGAAATGTTATAATGTCTAAGTCCGTGTCTATTACCCTCCCAATTTTAGTATCATCTTGCCTTTGCTTGTGTTAGCTTGTAACAGCCAGGTCAACAGGTAGTCAGTAGGTCAGAATCTTGATACACTAGGGGGAAATTCATAAAACCCGGAGAAGCTGAATCTGGAGCAACCAATCAGCTTCAGTGTTTCATTTTCAAAGCTTAACTGAACTAACTGAAGAGAGAAGCTTATTGGTTGCCATAATAAAGCTGTTTGCTCCAGTTTGTATAAATTCCCCCCACTATCTTAACCTACATTCAAATTCAGTTTTTTTAATGTAAATATATACAACAAATAAAACCTTTGCCAAAAACTCACTAATTCCCAGCTTGCACTTTTTTAGTAAATATATGGTGCTTACCTTGTCTTACAGTTGTTGTGTCTAGGAAGCTAAGAATTAACATCGCCTGGAAGAGGCAGTGACGTTCTGTCCATAGCCATAGGATGGTCCCTTAAAGATTAATCAGATCAATTATGAAGAATGAAGATTGGGGAGTATAGAAGTCCAATAGTTTTGCTTTGGATGTTGTTTGGGGCAAAAATTCCCAAGTAGTGACTTATAACTGTGTTGACGTTTGACCTATATACTCTAACAGGAAGTGTCAGTTTAATGTACATGTTAATTGTTTATTAAGGCTAAATTCCAGGCAAGCAGCTACACACACAATAAATCAAATTTAAAAACAGCTTCTTCGCATGTCAAAGGATTTGTAATTCTGTTCATTCAGTCTTGTAAACCAGGAACCCCAACCAGACAGCACAGCAAGGTCCTCAACCTCCATGGAAGCATAATCACAGCTTCATCAATGGCCAAACTCAGCCTGCAGTGACAGTGAAAGAGCAGCAGCATGCTCTGCTCACTCTGCTGCCTCCTCCTATCAGCACATGTGCACTACAGTAGAGTCTGTCTCAGTGTGCTGGCTTTCTCTCTTCCAGTGCTGTTGTATAGATAACTGGAAAAGGTTGCTATCAAAACAGATTCAGATACTTAAAGTGATATTAACGTCCAACGGTTTTTAAGCTATTTCAAATGCTGATTCAAGCATGCTGCTCCTTGATGTTTACAAGTTTTTTTTGTTGAATGACTCCTTTCCCTTGCAAGGTCCTATGAGTCCTATGTGCTAGAATGCTGTGTGTGTCTTCACAAACAGACACAGCAGGACAAGCTACTCTCCTGCTCCCTGATCCCCTCTCCTCTTTCCTCCCTCCTACCTTCTCCCTTCTTCAAGCTAGTACATGAACGGCTGCTCAGACTGTGCTGTCCCTTGTGATATTGTACTGGACAGGAAGTTCAGGGAAGGAAAGCTGAGAGAGTTGGATCCAGCTATATGGAGACATGATGACTGTAAGTGCTTGGGCAAAAAAAATAAAGAAATACTTTGCTGGGCAATGTCTATTTGTTTGATCTGGATTCATTATTGAAAACAAGTTTGAGAGTTTAATACTACTTTAAACTAGCTGCATTTAAAAATAAGTTGATTTTTGAATGAAAACATAACTGCCAACACCATCCAACACCTAAGCTTACTGAAGGTGGATTCCTGCGTCAGGGAGACACTTAGGGCACATGGATTAGCGAGTATTTCTCCCAATTGGCCAAAGCAACAGTGTCTCTTTAATGAAGTAAGGGGTCTGCACAGGGCCCCTATAATGGGATACGTGGGGGGAGCGGCAGGCAGAGCGCTCTGCTGCACATAATTTTATACTGTGTGCCTATTGCCCCCTTTCTAGCCAGAGCATTTTAGGTTGCTAATAGTTGGGCATGGAGATGTGTAGGAGCCATCCCTTAGCAACTATGATTGCCAGGAGATCGGCGGGATGCCAGCCAGAGTGTCCCAGGTTGCTAAGAGGTGGGTGGTAAGATGCAGGGCCCTCACACATCTCCTTGCCGGCTCTTAGCAGCATCACTCTCCACCTAAATCCCCTCCTTGCACCATCCACCACCACCTATTTGACTCCCCCCACCTCCTTAGGCAGCAAAAAGGCTAGGGACACCCCTGGGTCTGCACTTATGGGCTTTTCAGGGTTTGCATTGATTAGTTTAGCCATCTTGTATTAGTCAAGAAACCACCAAAAATGCTATGCAAAAGGATTTCATGAACATAGGTGTGTGTGACAAATGCTATCCACTGCAGTATGAACAGAATGGAGAAATAGATGTTGCATCAGTTGATTTTTTTTTTTTTTTTATTTCCTACGCCTTAACTATCAAAAGACACAAGAAAAGCATGCCATCTGCCAAAGAGCTAGCAATGCAATCTACATTTAATAACACATTCTGTTACTATGGAGTGAGGTTATTAAAAGGGATTCATTAAAGGTAATTAAAAATTCAAAAGGGCTGACTCGGGTCAAGCAGGAGCAATAAATCTATTCATTTCAGATTAAAAGGTACTACTACAGATGAGTTGCCTCCCGCAGGACCTTTGTAAGGAAGAAAACAAATGTCATCAGTGATACTCATGTATATTTTAACTGATTCTGAATGCATTTTAGTTTGTTTATTAGATTTCTCATGCTGTACATGACATACATATTATTTCAATGTATCCCACTAATTTAAAAATACACCAGAGATATTTAAACTTAATCACCAGATGTGGATGTGTTTACAGCAGCATGGATGCTGACTTCATTATCCTTTATTTGTAAAGTGCCAACATACACCGTAAGAGCAATGCGTTCTCTGTCTTCCAAGGAATAAACATAAAGCCCTTGAAAAACAGCATGCAAATCATCATGTCACACCAGAGAGAGCCACATTGGCAATAAATTACTAGACTCATATAACACTTGGGCTTGAAAACTAGGACACAATGCTGACCTGTGGTTTTCTGAACACTGCTGGCAAAATGATAGGTGTCTTTCCAAGGACATCATTCAATACACACACACTATGGTTAATGTACCAATGTGCAGTAATATTTTTAGCAAGCCACAGTATTGCTGGCTGAACTGTGCCATTATCCAATGTATCAGCTAAACCAAATGAACCTACCTATGCATAGGAACACATGGGAATAGCTGTTGTGTAAATGGGATGTTAAAGTCTACCTCATTAAAAATCATAAGACAATATTAATACTGCCTAAGCAAAATCTAAATTACTATATAAGTTTATTAAAACATACTTTTCTTCAGTAAATGGCTTTAAAAATGGATACAGAATATCACTTGTAAAAGTGCATCATTACCTTTCTCATGAATGCTTTTAGCTTTATTTAAATTTGGTGTTGATGAGTATAATAGTATGTACAGCATTTGGTAATTCTTTTTATTTTTTAGCAGTGTGTGAAAAGAAGAATAGACCCAAATACAAAGCAGAAGGATATACATTAATTAAACCATTTAAAGATGAAAATAAAACAGTTATAAGTTTTAAAAAAAATACATTTAGCTGCATTTGAGTCTTTTATACATAAAGAAGCCTCATAATTACCAATCATTTAATAAAAAGAAGGTTAGTAACAAATCACTAACCACTAGTAAAGAATCACTGTTGAATAATCGGTAGTGCATAAACAGTTTGCGACAAGGTTGCCAGATGACGTATACTACATGGCCATTTCATGATTACTGTGTGGCAAGGTATTAACTATAACTGTGCTCTTTATTTGCTTTAATTAGTGAGCCATTGTGGACTTTTCTTCATTCATTCCAGTCAATGGCTGAAAACTGAAATAGGTTTTTTCTAAAGCATTAAAGAGACCCTATAATACAGAGTCTAATCTCAAAAACCCTATGAAAGAAGATGCTGTATACCTGTCCTGCAGTCTGTATCTTCATACTCTACCATTTTGTTGATCCCTGGCCACTGTAGTTATTCAACACTTCCCAGTATGTCAAATAATACCAGCTCCCCCACCACACACTGCTGTTTCTCCCCCCAGTTTCTATGCCACCACAGGACATAGAAACCAATAGGAAGGACCACAGCACGGAGCAGGGAAGAAGGTATTCAACACACCTAGAAATGTTGGGAACCTACAGTGGTCGGGGATCAGCAATGTGGTGGAGTTTGAACGTGCTGGCTGCCACAACCATAAGATTTAATGAAAAGATTGCAATAGCTTTGGCAGTATACACTGAAAAGCATTTAACAAATACTTTGTCCTAATTGTAATACAATTACACAACCTTATGAATGCTTATTCGATGGTGTTACAATATGCCAAATCACTCTTGTCAATTATTAAGAACAGGCAGCAATCCACATTCTCTGTTCCTCAAGCCCACTGGCACTGTCTCCCTTTACACTTTACAACTCCTTTCCTTCTTTGTCCTCCCAGCCTCTGGGACCTAAGAATGCTTCCCATGTAAGCTGTCAGTATTATATACCCTCTGACATCCTGTATTGCCTCTAGTAGGGCATGTAAAATGAAAGTGTGACATCAAGTTCCTCAGAAGTTAATTGAGCACGTCCTTTCAGTATGGGCTCTTTATAGTTTTAGTAATGTCCATAAATAGTTAGAAGAGAAAATAGCAGCATGGTGTTGTGTAAAACAATAGTAGGGTGTTTAGTGAAAGAGGTTGCTCAGTTGCATAGAAACATACATTCATATACATATTGTAACATGTTCTCTAGATAATATGTTCATATTTGCTTCTATTTTCTTTCAGATATGGGAAAACAAAACAGTAAGCTAGCTCCAGAGATGCTACAGGACTTAGTGCAAAGCACAGAATTCTCAGAGCAAGAGTTGAAGCACTGGTATAAAGGGTTCCTGAAGGATTGTCCATCTGGCATTCTTAATTTAGATGAGTTTCAGCAGCTCTATATTAAGGTATTTTTTTGGCCTTTTGCAGACTCTGCTTATTGCCACATAAATGATCATGCTGTCAATGTTCATGAAAATAATGTAATTGTATTTATAAATATCCATTTATCAACATGGATTTAAAAGTGATGAGCTAAAGTATTTTTCCACAAAACAGTTTGCACATTCAGCCACAGCAAGAGTTGTTTTTGTGCTATCAAGCAAGTTATTCTGTCCAGCTTCTTGCGCCTGATTTTGCTGGGGGTTTTTTTCTATTGAAATTTAAATCATTTGAAGTGGACAATTTATCGGTTAACTTATTACGTCAGAAATGCGAAGTTTGAAAACAAAGTGAGCTTTTTTTCCCTGGCACAAGAAACCTGAAGACTTGAATTTTCAGTCTATTGGTTGAAGCCAATAAATGGTACTACTTTAATGTCGAAGTTTCATTAACGGCATAACACAAAACTGCTGCTACTGAATCATAGATATCAATCTTATGTGGCTGACACAACATTATTTTTCCAATATACTTGCAGAGATCTGAGTGGTATGGTTAAATTACTAGACAGCTATGTTGGCAGAGTTATGTTTAAATGTTGTATCTAAAGACGTTTTAAGGGAATGTATAGATTTTTTTATGAATTATTTATTTATTATGCTCAGGACAAAAAAAAAATGTATTACATTTTTTTTTTTTTTTAAATGTTTGAATGGCTGAAGGAACCGTCATGCAGCTGGACCACTTGACAGTGCAAGTGTATGGCTGACAATTACACTTAAACAAAATTTGGGCCCCTTGGATTCTATACATGGACACTGACCACTTTCAGTCCCTGTAAGCCAAGTAACCAAGCGATTATTTATACCTTACAGCTCACTATGTCCAAAGTCAGACTATTGCTACCCCATTGATTGCCGTGTGAATCATCTCTTTCTTCCTGTTTATATCCATACCTGTCAATCATTTTATTCTTTATGCTATGCCTTTTCATCAGCACCCTGGCATGGATCTAAAACATTGTGGGGGGAATTTATCAAAACTGGAACAGACAAAAACTGGAGCAGCTGTGCATGGCAACGTCTCTCTTCAGTTTGTTAAGTTAAGATTTGAGAATGAACGAGAGAAGCTGATTGGTTGTCGTGCACATCTGCTCCAGTTTTTGTCTGCTCAAGTTTTGAGAAATTCCCCTCAATGTTGTCACACTTTTACTACTGAACTCTCTTTAATCCTCATTCGATTGGGATAATGGGAATGGCATGCCTTCGGGCTCAGGTATGGAGTACCAATATAGGGGTGTGCTCTGGTTTCTCTATTTCTATACTTTTGTATTCTATAAATCTGCAATAAACTTATTTTGTATACTCCTTATGAGCCAGCAGATAGAACTTTAGCTCCTTTTCATTTTTCCTGTAGAGTGTTGCTGTAAAGCTTGGTAATTATGGAACTCAGTAGCTCAAGATAAATTCTATATGCCCATGAGTCATTAGAGTAGAGGACACACTTCAAAGTTTCAGTCAGGCAAAGCAAGCGTTAAAGCAGACAATGTCTGTTGTGCTCTTTCTTTACCTAACCCATATTACTCTGGGAATCCTTTTTCATGCAGTAAATGTTTGATGTAAAACAAAGATTGTATATACATAGTAAAAATTACATATGAGACAGCATTTTAAAAACCGAAATCTGTGAACCGAAATCATTATAATTTCTATTTAAAGGACAAGTTACTTCCAGAGCATTTCCAGCTTCCTATTAGAATTACTGGATACTTTTTGCACCCATAAGGTTTTGCAGCCTCAGTGAGCATGTTCTATTACCTGGTCTGCTTCTCAATGTTCACACCCCTTCCAAGCTCTCCTTTGTAGATGGGTACTTCCTGTTTCCATCAGTTGTACTGGAGGCTTCCAGCACACATTCGGTTTCATATTTATGCCTCATGCAACATTTGTCTCTCTGCTTTTCTCCTCATTGCTACACCCCCCTCACTTATTTGTAGTGTTATATTCTTATGTGGTTGGTTATTTCCCGTTTTCTTGATATCCTGTGTGCTCCCTAAAATATGCAGACTCTGGACTGACTGCACAACTGTAAATAATGATAGTAAACCAACCCCATCTACAGCAAATGGAAAGTGCACACACAGTGTCAGAGCAAACACACACACACACGCACACACATTTTTAGCGAAGACTCATAGAGGTTGATTTACTAACCTTATAAACACACCACGAACATGTATACACCTCTGTAGTGTGTTCCCTCCCAGCATGATCTATGGGTGGAATCTAAACACCTTTGTAGTGTGTACACACCCAGCAGGTGTGTTGTGCAAAGCCAAGCATGAATTGCAAGGTGATGTTGTGTAAATTAGCTCTATGTTGTGTTGCTTGCGTTGATGAATGCAGGAATGTAAATGCATGAGCTAACCATTTTTGTCTAAACTGTGAAGCAGCATTATATATGCATCATGTGCATGATTTTTCCATATATGGCATTAGTGGAAATATGCTTTTAGAGACTTTTTGGTTGATAAATACGTTTTGCTGTGTGAAAATCACACGCACCTGGTGCGTGCGTGTGTTTAGGTTAGTAAATCACCCCCATAGGGTCAGACAAACACAATCATGGCAGGGCACACACACAGGGGGTGATTTACTAACCTAAACACACGCACGCACCAGGTGCGTGTGATTTTCACACAGCAAAACGTATTTATCAACCAAAAAGTCTCTAAAAGCATATTTCCACTAATGCCATATATGGAAAAATCATGCACATGATGCATATATAATGCTGCTTCACAGTTTAGACAAAAATGGTTAGCTCATGCATTTACATTCCTGCATTCATCAACGCAAGCAACACAACATAGAGCTAATTTACACAAGATCACCTTGCAAATTCATGCAGGGCTTTGCACAACACACCTGCTGGGTGTGTACACACTACAAAGGTGTTTAGATTCCACCCATAGATCATGCTGGGAGGGAACACACTACAGAGGTGTATACATGTTCGTGGTGTGTTTATAAGGTTAGTAAATCAACCCCACAGTGTCAGGAAAGCTCAGTGTGCTCAGGAACATACAGGAGATAAGGATAACCCTTTGACAAACCTGCTATATTAAGGGGTCTATTCACAAAAGGGTGAAGAGTTTGGAGAAGGCAGGAGAAGGGAACAATCTAGGACAATATAGCTGAACTGGAAAGTTAGCTGAATTGGTGAATTTTTCCAAATTGGCTATTTTGTCCTAGATTGTTCACTTCTCCTGCCTTCTCCAAACTCTTCACCCTTTTGTGAATAGACCCCTTAAACTATTTGCATACACGGGCCCTACTAAAAGTCTTTAACAACATGACCACATTTAGTCGCCATAAATATGGAGGCTGTTATCACACATTACACAAAGCATTAATAACATGCAAAAGGCTACAGGAAGATATAACATAATTTCATATGGTGTGATAACATGCCATAATACTGGAGGTTAAATTCTGCGTTCCAGATGGCTGTACTAATTCATTATCTGTGCATGAGCAAACATGCTCCATCCTTGTGATATCCTTTTGGCACCATTGGGCAGAGCAGCATGACTTTGGCACAGTCGTAATGTTATACTGTCTGTCACCCTCCATGTTTCTGAAGCCCTATTAAAAATATTGTTTACACTGAGGTATAGGTAAACAAGGTAAAATATAAAAGGGACATTTAGTGCAAATGGACTTTTCTGGTAATAATAATACAGAAATGCATGCTAGATGAACAGTCTTATCACTTAAACATGTACTTAGTGTATGCTGCTGCAACATAGTAGAAAGCAGTCATTAACCAACATGGTAATATCCTGAATGTGATGCACTAATTAGGACCTGCGTTCATTTGCACAGGGACTAATGTGTAAAATATGTGAACAGTGGGAAAACATTGATGGGTTGCTCATAGCAGACCATCTGATTGTAGCAGTGTTTTTGTTTTTCTTACATTTATGACTGCTGAAAAGCATTGGCCCAGAACCCAACGCTGTTTGATATGTAGCCTTGCCCAATGACACGGAACTTTGTGTTAGTTATCGCTTACTAACTAGGCCATGTTCCTTTTAGTCAAGGCTCCCTTTCCCTAGGGGCTCATGGTTCCTTCACTATTTAAAGAATGACAGAAACCTGATTGATCTCTAATTTTGTTTCCACGCAACTGTTATGTGTTTCTCTAAAGCTTTTCTTATGCTCTCTTTTCATGTCAAGTTTACTATTTAAAATATATTTATGTCTACTTTCTTTATTCCTATAGTTTTTCCCTTACGGTGATGCTTCCAAGTTTGCACAGCATGCCTTTCGTACGTTTGACAAAAATGGGGATGGAACCATTGATTTCCGGGAATTTATCTGTGCTTTGAGTGTCACATCACGGGGAAGCTTTGAGCAAAAGCTGAATTGGGCTTTTGAGATGTATGATTTAGATGGCGATGGGAAGATCACCAGACTGGAGATGCTGGAGATAATTGAGGTATGTTTGGGCATGATTATTAGGGGCATATAAAAGTAATGAAATAAATCAAATAAATATTTGAACATCTTGTTGTATAGTACAACTTTTCTAGCCTCAAGGGTATAAGGGCTCATTCAAATGAGCCCGCCAGCTAAAATGTCAGGTCCTCTTAGCATGCAGGCCAGTGTCCATTGTGTGCAGGTAGTGAGGAACAGTGCCATGTTGTTTTACTTTTTTTATTTTTAGAGTGACAGTTCATTTAAGTCTCTGCATGCCGCTGTGGCATGTAAATAAACATGCTGCACCATACCACATCTCGCACGGCATTGTGGTGTGAACAGGGCACATAGAAAACAATTGTTTTCTATGTGCCCTAGTGATGAAAGCCTGTGTTGATCTATGCAGATTTATGCATGTCACCTCATATGGTATGAACAAGCCTTACATTTACCCAAGTTCAGTCATTTATCTAGCAAACTAATGTCAACAAAGTGTGCAGCTCACAGTCCTTTCCCTTGTCTATTCAATATAAATGGGGATATTAAAGCTGAGCTAAATACACGGATGAAATACATATAAGGCAGCTGTTTTACCTTTCAAAGGATTTGTATTTCTGCCCATCTAATCCTGACAATGGGATTTACACAACCCCTTTGCACAGCACAGCAGGTTGGATGACACCACTTATATGTAAAGAATACAGTGGTGTCCTCTTTCCACACCCATTCTGCCAACTGGACAATATAGGAGCAGCAGAAGACTGATGAGGTTATTTCTATTTTACTTCTGCTTCTTTCTCCTATCAGCATGTTCATAGTCAACAAATTTGCATGCGGCACAGCTGAATGGCTACCAGTCATGTTCCTCCTCTCCCAGTATGAGTACAGCGGTACAGGGTATTGTAAGAGGCTGTTCCTAAGCCCAATGAGGTATTTACACAGGTTGCATTTGAAAAACAACCTGTAAATATAATGATTTATTTAACGGAATAAACGTCAGTCAAAGTATCGCAGCGCTGAATACTGAAAAATGGCCTGGCCAGGAAGGGGGGTCTAAACACCTGGTCTTGAAGTGGTTAATACATAGCTGTTTATTTTACATCTGCCTTGAATTCAGCTTTAATTAAAACGTAGAGGTTTCATGTTTATCTTTGTTTTCTCTTTTAGGCAATCTATAAGATGGTGGGTACTGTAATCATGATGCGCATGAATCAAGATGGCCTAACTCCACAACAGAGAGTTGACAAAATCTTCAAAAAGATGGACAAGGACAGAGATGACCAAATAACCTTGGAAGAGTTCAAAGAGGCAGCAAAGAGTGATCCCTCCATAGTGCTTCTGCTGCAGTGTGACATGCAAAAATAGTATCACTTTTACTTTGTCAGCTCAGCTGAATGCCCCGCATGCACCTCTCTACCTTTCCTTTCCCACACAATATCCTGGGGCTTTCCACCTAATCAATATACCTATTCAGTACCACTCTGACCATATAAGATGGAGGTGGTGGCAATATGGCTACTTCTTAGATAATAACGAGACTGAAAATACTGTAATGTGGAATTTACATACAATCTCAGCTGTTTTTCCCTTACCTTTATCATAGCTATTTTTAAAGCAAAATAATACACATATATGCCTGTCTCTGAGAATGCCTAAAGACAGTCTATGATTCTTTAAATATGAACTGTTTTAAGCAAAGTGTTTGCTCTGTTGTACATGTTTTTGTATATTATGCAGTGTTTTATTTTTATTGTACAAAACAGTATAAATATAAAATTATATGTGCAAAGACCCTAATTCTATAGGAATTGCAGTGGTCCAAATTCTGCTTCCGTTCACGTTTTACAGTTAATATTATTATGAGGTATCAGCTTGATTTAATGCTACATATTACAGCTGCTCTGTATTAGACCACCCAATTCTGGGTTACCGTAACTTTGTCACAATTGTCACTATGCAAGCTAATGTTGGTGAGATGACACTGTTAGTGATCAATACAAATTACCTTTGCAATTAAATATAATCCTCCCAATTAGTCGACTTTTCAGTAGTGACTGTATTAGTATGTTTTATGTAAAGAATATAATTCAACCCTTAGAGGTTGATTTATAACAAGTTGCCTAGTGTATAGCTGATCAAAGGACGTTCGCAGCACATTACTGCCACTAGATAAAGCCAAGGAGTATAGGTATTTCTACTGCTTTTGGCTCCATCTAGTGGCAGTATTACGCTGCAAATGTCATTCGTCCAGCTATACGCTAAGCGAATGCGTTATAAATCGGCCCCTGAGTATATTACATGTGCATTATAGCTTTCGATGTAGCATGTCTAAAAATATCTTTATGTGACTGGTTATCATCTTATATTACACCTAGTGAGGGACATTTATCAAGCAAATTAGCATAAAATTTAGACACTTATGTATTGCAAATCAGGCTGCCCCTCATTTAGAAAAGTATATGCAACCGTTTTTTTGTGGCTGGAATCCTGGGCAGCAAACGGAAACAGTTTTGCACAGGCCTGCAGCAAATTTGTACTGAAAACACATCCACAATTGAGAAGTGGTCAGGGGCAGGTTTTATCTAGTCACAGTTATACGTTAGTGCAGCAGAGAGAGGAATTTATTAATCAAGCTGCAATCTTATAGTAACTTTGTCTCATAATCTGTCTTACTGTTGCTGTTTAGCATTGTATGCTATGGGATGGAATTGATAAATGTCCCCCAGGGTATATTATCTTATGCCTGTGTATGTGTTCTTCAGTGTGAGCTTCTATTAATGGGTATATAGTGTAAAATGTATCCTTACAATTCAGGGGCCTCTTCACGCCCAGCTCTATAGCTTCCAGTCACATAAACATGTCATAAAGAAACTTCCAACAGTTTATTTCTTATTTTAAGTTGCAGTTGCTCTGATAAAACAAATATATATATTTACATGTTTCACCCTCTGAATTAAAGTTATTCTGAGAACGTTATTATTTTTTTTTGCAATGGGAACATTCCAGTTGAGCGGTCAATTCATGAAGTGTTTAGGAAAACAACTGGCGTGAACAGACCCTTAGATCATGGTTGCTGGATGTGCATGCATGATTAAACCACACACTGGAACCAAGATTGGGCAGCATGTCTTTAAACAGTAAGGATAGGCATGGCTGAATGATCCTGTGTAGTTACTGGAGGAGGGACAATGAGAGTGGTGCCAGTTGACAATGTCCATGTTTCTTATTATTATGAAGCCCTGTAGTGATCATCCTTAGTTTTTAACCTACTCAACTGATTGTGCCTCTGGAGATTTGGTCTACCAGCAGTCCTGTGCAAGGCCAATTAACATGACACCATATCCTGCCAGATCCGGAGATTTTCATCGTGTGTCTATGGATAACTTAGTCAGACCATGCCCTGGTTGTACCTTCTACAGATTTATCCACAGATCCAGAATCTGTCTGTTCTTTCTAATGTTGTCGCAGTTGCAGCTTCAAACACAAGATTTAAACAATTCTCTTGTAACCGATTTAAAGGACCTTAATTTACCGATAATCATTATCTTTCATATGCTACCCAAGTATGACTATCATTGCAAAGAAAACCCAAACACGTGCTTGAGTTAGCAGAGCTTCGCCCTATTCACTAAGCTAAATGAAAATGATTTGCAAAGTGAACAGCCTATTTTCCTTTAGCAAATCAACCCCATGGATTTTGAGACTGCCCTGTGCACTACTGGGCATTTGGAGAGACAGGCTAACAGTGTTCTTGTAATATGATTCATGCGATAAAATTACTAACCTCCAAGCCCAGGCTGTGCCATATAACACACAAGCAGGATGTGGCACCTGTGATGACTTTCATAGATGCATTTACATGATTCTTCCTCAGGGCTGTGTTTACAGACATTTGCTTCTGACATGCCTTTGTAAAGCAGTTTGGAAGTCTTGTATTGATGAGTGTGGACTGATTTATTCCCCTTCATACAAGTTATGTGAATAGAAACAAATGCAAGTCACAAGCATTTCACAAGCAACCGAGAAGCAACTTAGCGGCATCTCAAACGCATCTGAAAGTAAGCCATTTTCCTGGAAAGCATGCTGCATTTGACTTGCTTCTAACACTAAGGGCTGGTTCACACCATCCTCCAGGGCCGGAATGCACTGGATCACATTCCGGCTGGCTCACTTTGTTTTGGGGCGGGAAGCGGCGTGGCGGTGGATTGAACTCAATGGCACCGCAGTCACGCCCTCCACCCGCAATGCGATCGGCCGCACGGCAACGCGTGGCACATTAGTGCCTGCGTTCCGGTGCAGTCAGAAAAAATAGTGCGTGCACTACTGATGTGCCACGCGTTCCCGTGCGGCCGATCGCATTGCGGGTGGAGGGCGTGACTGCGGTGCCATTGAGTTCAATGCACCGCCACGCCCCCTCCCACCCCAAAACAAAGTGAGCTGGCCGGAATGCGATCCAGTGAGTTCTGGCCACAATTGGGCCGGAACGCACTGAGGAGGGTGTGAGCTAGCACTAAATCCAGTGTACACAAGCCCTTATTCTGACATTTGCAGATATGCGCACATACACAACAACCCCTTGTCAGCACTTTAGGGCCTGTAAGCTCAACCTGCCCCGAAGACCTTCCTAGATGAATATGTCCCCAATTCCTCAGTTGCTCTGTGTGTGAGACTATAGTCTGAAAAGTACAAGTGGACTTGTTATATTTTTCTATTTGAAAATAAAAATATACAAAATATATTTCCTTTTGTTTGCCACATTACAAAACATGTATTATGTTTTATTGTTTAAAACCATTTTTGCAAAGTTTCAATTAAGTAAAATAAAATGAAATATATAAATACAGGAGTTGCAAGGAAAAATATTACTGTTTATATCAGGGTTTCTCAATCAGGGTTCTGTGGGTGGTCCCTAGGGGCTCTGCCACATGCACCCATCACTGGGAATTTATATCCGCTTAATGCTAGGCCAGCTATAGGAGGTAAAGGCTGTACTTTGCATGGCAGGGGCTCCATGCATGGATGGGACTTCCACTATCGCCACATTATCCAACTGCTTGCATATTACTTACTGGCAGCTGCTGTGTGTTAACGGGGAACTGACCAGAAGTTATCATGGCAAATGCAGGATCAGGGCAGGATATGGAGATTGGAGCTTGGAGGGTTTGTATTCGGTTTTGCCACTGCCCTTCTAACAAAGCAGAGGAGACAGCAATGACTGGCTTATAGCTGACAAGAAGGCGGTGGTGCTAGGGGCACTGAGTTCCAGCACAGAGGGACTTTGCTTCCCATCTCAAAATGGGGGTGTCCCCTTCTGCTTCCAGTCCCAAATCCCAATTGGAATGCTGTACAGAATTCTCTGGAAGGATATTTAATGGGGCGCATAAATGTTTAATAATTGAGTGTATGATTCATGGTTGAACTGCATCCATGGGACATGGTCTGCGAAGCTCAGTTTTTTGCTAATTTTTCTATTCTAATTTAAAATATGAAATTCATGTCCGTCACTGAGCACCAAGTCAAATGTATTGTTGTCACTGTACACCGAAGCAAATTTAGTGTTGTCACTGTGCACCAAAGCAAATTCAGCATTGTCACTGACCACCAAAGCACATTTAGTGTTGTCACTGTGCACCAAAGCAAATTCAGCATTGTCACTGAGCACCAAAGCACATTTAGTGTTGTCACTGAGCACCAAAACAAATTTAGCATTGTCACTGAGCACTGAAGCACATTTAGTGTTGTCACTGAGCACCGCAGCAAATGTAATGTCATCACTGAGCACCAAAGCAAATTCAGCATTGTCACTGAGCACCAAAGCAAATTCAGCATTGTCACTGAGCACCAAAGCAATTTTAGTGTTGTCACAGTGCACCAAAGCAAATTCAGCATTGTCACTGTGCACCAAAGCAAATTTAGTGTTGTCACTGTGCACCAAAGCACATTTAGTGTTGTCACTGTGCACCAAAGCACATTTAGTGTTGTCAACGAGCACCAAAGCAAATTTAGTGTAATCACTGAGCATCAAAGCAAATTCAGCATTGTCACTGAGCACCGAAGCAATTTTAGTGTTGTCACAGTGCACCAAAGCAAATGTAGCATTGTCACTGAGCACCGAAGCAAATTTTGTGTTGTCACTGAGCACCGAAGCAAATTTAGTGTTGTCACTGAGCACCGCAGCAAATTTAGTGTCATCACTGTGCACCAAAGCAAATTCAGCATTGTCACTGAGCACCAAAGCAAATTTAATGTCATCACTGAGCACCAAAGCAAATTTAATGTCATCACTGAGCACCAAAGCAAATTCAGCATTGTCACTGAGCACCAAAGCAAATTTAGTGTCATCACTGAGCATCAAAACAAATTCAGCATTGTCACTGAGCACCGAAGCAATTTTAGTGTTGTCACAGTGCACCAAAGCAAATGTAGCGTTGTCACTGAGCACTGAAGCAAATTTAGTGTTATCACTGAGCACCAAAGCAAATTTAGTGTTGTCACTGAGCACTGAAGCAAATTTAGTGCTGACATTTTGCACTGAAACAAATCTA